AGCTTGAGAAATGCAGAGTGAGTTCTTCCCTTTTTATTCTCCAATTCCAGCTCTCTGTATGTTCCATTGTTACACTTTGTTTTGTATTCTCAAGATGCCATTTGAAATCTTCTGTTTAGCTCTTTTATTTCAGGATGATTTCCCTTTGTTTTGGCTTCTCAATGCTCTAATGCAATTCACAGTCTCTTCTGACATTTACCTCAGGTTTTTCTTTCTCCTTTGTCTTTGTAATGATCTTTTGCTCTCCTCATAGAAGATATCCTTTGATATTATCTCACATCTCAACCGGTCTTCAATCACTGATGTTCAATACCTCAAACCTATTCCTAAGATGGTCTTGAAATTCAGATGGAATATATTTAAAATAATATTTTGTTTCTCATAGATTTAATTTTCTTCAGCCTCAGTTTGAACTTGCACATGAGTAACTGATGTTCTGACCCATAGTCTGCCCATAGCCTAGTTTTGACTGATGGTATTGAGTTTTTCTAAGGATTCCTTCCACAGATGTAGTCAATCTGATTCCTACGCAGCTCATCGGGTGAGGTCCATATGTAAAGTCACCATTTGTGTTTTTTTTAAAAAAGGTATTTGTAATGAACAAAACATTGAAAATACAAAATTTGGTATTTCTATTTTCAGCCTCATTTCTATCGCCAACCCCATATTTTCCAACTATTATTCCTTTTTCACTGTTTTCAACTTTTCTTTTTCATTTCAGTAGCCAATTATTATTAATGCATCTTGACTGCATATTCGGTCAACTTCAGACTGTAAGATTTGGTAAGAATTTTTAATTTCTTCCTCTTTGGCTGTAGATATAGGAGCATAAATTTGAATAGTCATATTAACAGGTCTTATGTATCTGGATAATATCCTATCACTCACAACATTGTATTTCAGGACAGAGCTTAAAATTGACTTTTTTATGATGAATGCAACACCATTCTTCTTCTGTTTTTCATTCCCAGCATAGTACACCATATAGATTATCTGATTCAAAGTGGCCAATGATAGTCCATCTCATCTCACTAATGCCTAGTATGTGATGCTCATTCATTACACCCCTTTTTTTCCATGATAAACATTGTACTAATTGCTCTAGCACTTGTCTGTCAGTTTGCTGTACTAAAATAACTTGTAGGTTGCTGTGATACTGAAAGCTTTGCCACCGGTATGTCAAATTCCACAAGAGATACCAATGGTGGACAGGTTTTAGTAGAGCTCACAAATTAACACAGGCTAAGAAGCAGAATTGGCCACCTACTTCTTAAATAACAGGCCTCTGAAAACCTTATGAACAGTACAAGAAGGCAGATAATTATGGTAGTAGTGGTAGAGCCCAGATCGGAAGTCAGTCCAAATGAGGAAAAATAACGGCTAGCATCTTTCAATAATCAGAATATGAAATATATGTAGCTTGAATGTTGAAGATTAGAACTTGTGAAAAATGAAAGGGAACATAAGGATTTTAAGCATGGTCAAATCTCTTTTTAAAAAATCAAATCAGTAACAAACAAAAAATAATTCATTTTCAATCTCATGGTTCTATTTATTATATTTTGTTTCTCTCTTGATATTCTCAGTCAAGAAATATCTATGTTACAGTTTCCCATATATGAAAAACAATTTACATCCCTACCATCTGACATTTCCATCACTAATGTTGCACATCTCACCACTACACAATTCTCTGAAAATGTTCTCACTAGTATTCACATAATGCCCAGGTAATAAATATTATTGTTGTTGTTATTGTTGTGTGCCGTTGAGTCATTTGCGACTCATAGCGACCCTCTGTACAACAGCCCTAAACCCTGCTCTATCCTGTACCAATCGCATTGCCTCTGACACCCCATCCCGATTACCCCAGTCATTGAATCAATCCACCTCATAGAGGGTCTTCCCCTCCTTTGCTGTCCCTCTACTCTACCCAGCATGATGTCCTTCTCCAAAGATCTGTCTCTCCTTGCAACATGTCCAAAGTATGTCAGACGAAGCCCCCAAATCCTTGCCTCCAAGGAGTAGCCTGGTTTAACCCTGTCTGCATGAATCTGTTTGTTTTCTTGGCAGTCCATGTTATATTCAATACTCTTCTCCAGCACCATAGCTCAAAGGTGTCAATTCTCCTTCTGTCCTACCTTGTCATTGTCCAGCTCTCTGATGCATAACAAGTGATTGCAAAGACCATGGCCTGTATCAGGCGCACCTTAGTCTCCAGAGAGACACCGTTGCTCCTGAGTACTTTAGAGAGGTCCCTAACAGCAGACTTTCCCATCGCGATACGCTTTTGATTTCCTGACTGCTGGTGCCAAGAGTGTTGACCGTGGAGACAAGCAAACTGAAGCTGTGAACAATCTCAATCTCTTCCCGATCCATCCTGATGCTACCAATTGGTCCAGTGGTGAGAATCTTTGTCTTCTTGACATTGAGCCTCAGTCCATACTCAAGGCTGCAGTCCTTGACCCTCTGCAGTAAGTGCATGAGGTCCGCCTCAGTTTCAGCGAGCAAGATTGTGTCATCTGCATAACGCAGATTGTTGATAGATCTTCCACCAGTCCTAACACCACACGTCTCCTCATAGAGCCCAGCCTCTCGGATAATCTGCTCTGCATAAAGGTTGAAAAGGTATGAAGATAGGACACATCACTGGCGCACACCCTTCCCAATTTTGAACCATTCAGTGTTGCCCTGCTCTGTTCTGACGACTATCTCTTGGTCCAAATATAGGTTTCGCATTAGCACGATTAAATGTTCTGGGATTCACATTCTTCTCAGAGTTAGCCACAGTTGTTATGATCCACGCAATCAAATGCCTTTGCATAGTCAATGAAACACAGATAGACATTCTTCTGGTATTCTCTGCTTTCAGCTAAGATCCATCTAACATCGGCTACAATATCCCTAGTACCACAACCCCTTCTAAACCCAGGCTGGACTTCTGGCAGTTCTCTGCTGATGTTGTTTTTGGATAATTTTCAGTAGAATCTTTCTTGCATGTGAAATCAATGCTATTGTTCTGTAGTTTCCACACTCAGTTGGGTCATCCTTCTTTGGAATGGGAACAAATATAGATCTCTTCCAGTCAGTTGGCCAAGTGGTTGTTCTCCAGATTTCTTGGCACAGCTTGGTGAGCACATCCAGGGCAGCATCTGTTAGCTGAAATATGTCAATTGGTATACCATCTATTCCTGGGGCCTTATTTTTTGCTATTTCCTTCAAAGCAGCTTGAACTTCTGCCTTCATCACCACAGGCTCTTACTCAAATGTTATTTCATTAAATTCTTCTGTATCTGCCAATTCCTTTCTATACAATGACTCTGTATATTCCTTCCATCTTCTTTTGATACCTCCTGGATCATTTAACATTCTGCCTAAAGCATCCTTGATTGTAGCAACTCGAGGTTTGAATTTGTTCCTCAGTTCCTTGAGCTTAAGAAATGCTGAACAAGTTCGGCCCTTTTGATTTTCCTACTCTAGCTCCTCGCACATTTCATTGTAGTATTTTTGTTTGTCATTCCGTGCTGCCTTTTGGAATCTTCTGTTCAGCTCTTTAGTGTCTTGGATCCTTCCTTGCGCTTTGGCTTCTCTACATTCCAGTGCAATCTTCAGAGTTTCTTCTGACATCCATTTTGGTCTTTTCTTCCTCTTCTTTCTTTGTAATGACCGTTTGCACTCTTCCTGGATGATAAATTTAACATCTTTACTTGATCTTTCAAAAGAACATAAATAGTGACAACACACTTCCTCCTCTTCCCCTAGCTCATTACTAGTTTACTTAAGGTTCTCCCATGTGTCTTTGAGTGTGTGTGTGTGTGTGTGTGTAGTATAAACTTCATTTATTCTAACTATCTCTTAAATCTCAGTTTCTTTAAAGGTTTTTCTAGGTTGTTTTCTCTTCATGGGCTCTATCAGCCCCTCCTTTGACTTCAATTACTATCTAATGCTAATGAATCACACACTCGTATTTGTAAGCCTTACTAGATATACTGACTACCAGAAATAAGCTTTACTTCACACAACGATTAGGCATATAAATGTCTAATTGCACGATAAATCTCTCCACTTAGATGTCTCTAGGGAATCTTTAGAATGTCCTCAGAACTCGCTCACCCAAGCCTATAGCTAGCCTGTGCTTTCTCCATCTCAGCAGTGGCTCCAGGGGCCTCTGGTGACCCAGTAGTAAGGATATGCACTGCCACTCTGAAGGCATGAGGTTTGAAACCAAAGCTTCTCTTCAGAAGAAACATGGGAAATCTCCTCCCAGGTGATTTTTAGCCTCTGAAACCCCACTGGAGGGTCAACTATGGGCTGGTTCTATCTTGAAGGCACATAAAAACATCAGCAATGATGATACCAATATCTATCCGGCTGCCAGATCAGAAGACTCAGAATTCCTGAGTCCTCTGTTACCTTCATCCTCTTGTTTGAGGATTAAGTGACATACATGTTCAGTAAATACTGTTACTATTTTTGTCTTGGTCATTTTATCCTTCACCCTTCAACTTTTCAAAGCCTTAGACTAAGCTGATTTCATGGCTAGTGTAAAGAAGCTGTGCTCCATATACCCAAAAATTGGTCTGCCACTATACTTATCAGTGTTTGTAATCATCTTGTTTGTTTAAATCTTGCTCTTCCCCAGTACATGGTAAACTCCAGGGAGGCAGATGAATGTGTGCTTTCTTATCCCTCATTAAAACCCCAGAACCTAAATACCTAAAGAATATTTGACAAATGAATGACTGGGAAATTAATGAGTGGGTCATCAGTGAAATGTGAAAGTAGGAAATACTAATTACTTGTTAAGAAAATTACAGTATAACTTCATGCACCAAATACAAGCCAAGTTTAGGGCCACTTATATTCTTTTATTCTCCAATATTTTTATTCTAGAAAATATTTTTCTTCTAGAAAAACATAGATTACTATCCTTTGTCCGATGAGAAGGATTTGCCTTTACCAAAAATGAATACTTAAAGTCAGGAAAGAAGGTTAGTTACCTTTGCCATAATATCTGCATAAGCCATATATAAAAAATCTTCCTCCAGTTTGCTATGAAAAGCAAAGAGAAAAAAAATCACCAATTTTTAAGTAAAAATACTCTTACTGTTTAAACAATATTTGTTTATTTTAACCAAATATCCTTTTAAAACTAAGACAACATAAAACTTTAAAAATACTATTTATGTAAAAATATTCTCAAATCAAAACTAAAAGACGTCAGGTGTGCCAAAGTCTATACCACCTTACCTCAGAGATGAGAGCTCCAAAACTCACAAAATAGGTGCTCTAGTGGTTTTACATAAACACATAACACTCAATTTTTCAAACCACAACATTTGATTCAAGAAAATTTAAAAGAGCTAGTGGCTTTGATAGGAGAAGTAGCACTTGATAATTGATGGAAAGACTCCTCAAATTATCCTGGTGCTATGCAGTTAATACAAAGAAGGTCAGTAATGATGATCCTTCAAAGTTAAGGCTAAAATATGCTTATTACCTTTTTCTTAAGAAACATGGAAATGATTACTAGTTTAAGAATGGTTTCCACCAATCAACCTCTAAGACTTGTGAAGTTATTTTAGCAATTGTAAAGTTCAGTCATCAGAAAAAAATCACTTATGAGAAATACCTCATTACCTGACAATGCCAGACAGAGAGAGAGCTGCTCTATGCTTAGGGATGAGATGGTTTTGTTAGTTAGGAAATAACAAGAGAGAGAGAGACATAGTGAGAGAGTGGATGGAACACATTAGCTAAGAGGGGGAATTGTACATTTTCATAGCATGCAAGAGGTCAAATGAACTTGTCCAGGCTTCTGAGGAGACTCATGTGGATAGAGGCTGCCAATTAAATTATGTCCCAGGTTTTGCAGAGAGCAGGCAAGGCCTGGGGCAATGCAGGCTTTCTTTCACGCAGCACAGAGGTGAATGAAGGCTTTATAATCTCTGAAATGCTCATCTACAGAGCTAATCTATGGAGTGCCCCCTGAAATGAGAAGAGGCTCAGATCATTTTGAGAATCAGGCATAAGAGTGTATTTCTTATTTAATTGCACAGAGGCTTGCCCTTTGTGACTTTGGTGAGTTCCCATTACTCATCTTACAAGAACAAAAGAAAATGAAGAATACCCTTAAATGCGCTCCCAAAGAAAATGCCAAGCTGAGATGATGGCCCATTAGGCCCTAGAGGTTTCCTAACTTCATCCCATAATGAAGACACAATCTATTGAGGAAATTTAGGGTCATCATAAATCTCCACATTACTTGGGGAATTGGAATAGCTTCGGGCTCTCTTATTTTTAAAGCTGTTTATGATAAAGGAGGAAAAAATTATTATATAAAGAGAATCAGGATGAACTAAATCAGCCAAACACTGAGTTGTTAAGAAAAATTAGAACATACAGACCAGGATTTGCCAAGAGAGAGCAAGGTGCCCTAGTATACATCAAATAAGTCATTCTTTGAACAGCACAGACGTCTAATAAGAACAAGATGATACTGAAATATGAATACATGGTACACAAAAGACTCTGACAGGGACTTTATTTGTGTCTTTCAGAAGATTTTCCCCACCATACCATTTCTCTGTCAAAGCTGTTCGGCTGAACAGGAGAATAAGTTGATGAAGGGGATCAACTCTCTTGGTGTCTTCATCTTCTTCTGGAGGGTCTGTTCCAGGTTTCTAAGAGAAAAGGCAAAGATTCTATAATTTCACATTTAAATGAAACATCTACTTAAATGTGGGAGTTCTGGTGGTCTAGTGGAAGAAGCTGTGATGCAATTCTGAAGACCACCAGCTACTCCATGGGAGAAGGACGGGCAATCTCCTCCCATGCGATCGACTGCCTCTGAAAATCTGTTGGCTTGATGGTACACAACAAAAACAACTCAAAAGCAAGTTAATACAATGCTTAGGAACAAAGAATAATCCTTCTCTTTGTGCTGTGATATGTATGTGCATGAGTGTCTGTGTTATATGCATATATATTATATAACCAAGGTAAAACTATGTCATTTGAAGCAGAGGTATTCACTACTTACCCAAAGAATGGGTTAGGCAAGGAAAATTTGTGTTTATTTTAAAATTCTGAGTGCTATTATTATCAAGCCAAACCTAACTAGATAAAAGTGGTTTTGCTAAACAGGTTTTAGCTTTAATGAAGTCAATGTTTAAAGATTTGCAATAAAATGCTGTCACTTCAAGTATAAAAATTTAGTTACCACAGAAGAGCAAAGTGCTTTTGAAAGGAAACCTTTGCACGATTCAGTAAAAAATGATAGTTAACAGGTGTTAAATGGGTTAATATTTAAGTTGCATAAATAGTATTTTTTCAGTTCCTTTTCATTGACTATAGAATTAATCTTGATTTTTTTTTGTTTTGGTGGTTGATTTAATCAATTATATTTCCACTATAAGCCTTCATTTATTTACACTGATATTTCTCTCTGCAAGAATGATTTATTTTCCAGTGATAGTTTCTTCTATATGATTCCTTTCCTGGTTTTAGGCTTATGTAGGGGTCCTGGGCAAATTTCCACTTGTTGTTGTTGTTGTTGTTATGTGCCCTAGAGTCGTTTGCGATTCATAGCGACCCTATGTACAACAGCCCTAAACCCTGCTCTATCCTGTGCCAATCTCATTGCCTCTGACACACCCATCCCAATTACCCCAGTTGCTGAATCAATCCACCTCATAGAGGGTCTTCCCCTCCTGCACTGTCCCTCCACTCTGCCCAGCATGATGTCCCTCTCCAAAGACCTGTCTCTCCTTACAACATGTCCAAAGTATGTCAGGCGAAGCCCCAGAATCCTTGCCTCCAAGGAGTAGCCTGGTTTAACCCTCTCTAGGATGAATCTATTTCTTTTCTTGGCAGTCACTAAACGTCCAAATATTTCACTGGGTTTTATTTTAAAGAAAAATCATTTATTTGAAAAATATGAACGCATTTCATTATTAGGTTTTTAAAAAATTGTATTAATTTGTCCACTATATTCCCTATTTGTGACTTAAAAACTTTCATATTCATCCACAAAGAGGAATGATAAACCTTATAAATATCATGCTTAGTGGAATAAGTTTGTAACTCTTTATTCTACCAAAGGGAATATTATGTGACTCCACTTGTCTGAAATATCTAGAATGAAAAAATGTTGAGAGACAAGTGTTGAGTGTTCATTTGTGGCTGTTGGGGATAGGTCTGAGAAAGGAGAGGAAGACTCATTGCTTAATAGATACTAAGTTTCTGCTACAAAGGATGAAAATAATCAGGAAGACAATAAGAATATTGTCCCTAAACAGTGCCTGTGAAGACAAATGAAATGGCAAATGCTTTGCTACATGTATTTACCATGAATACCAAAACTTTTTAAAAACTAACTGGTTTTTAAGCTGGGACTCATGAAACTCATGAATTAATTTACAAAAATGTGTGTGGGACTCAAGAGAACAAACACCATATGGTTTTATTTATAGGCATTATCTACGGGTGGGGGTTGGAGAGTATGGAGTGGCAGTGGATAATTATTGTTCACAAGATTACTGGGTTTCTGTTTTAAAAACTCAGCTCCAACTTATTGCTGTGAAGTAGCAACTGATCGACAGTTGCCCCTCTAGAGGGTTTCCGAGGCTGTAAATGACATGGAAAGAGATTGCCTGTCTTTGTCCCATGAACCTCAGGTGGATTTGAATTTCTGGAGATGGGTGGCTTTTGGACTAGCAGCTTAACTCCTTACAGATTCTACTTCCAGAGCTCCCTAAAATAAGTTATTATGGAAATGGACCATGGTAATGATTGAATAGGTTTATGATTATAATTAGTGTTGCTGAGCTCTAGACTTAAGATGTAGAAATACCAAACTTCTTATGATACATATTTCATTTTAATATAAACTATTTATGTATTTTTCTGAGAAGATGGCCCAAAGCCTTCTTCAGATTTTCCAATGAGTTTGATGGCTTGGGAAAGGGAGGGGTGAGCATCCCCACATGTAGGGCTCTGTATGGCAGTGCAACTCAATGCTAGACCAGCTTTTTGTGTGCTGTGGGCTGTTTTTCATCACTGCATGCTGTTACTCCATCTTCTTTGCCCTGGGGTATTTGAAAAAAGAATAATTTTTCATTGATAATTCATTACATTAATCTTGAGCTAATTTTTCTCTAAAAACTCATTACCCTGAATTCAGATATTGATTGATAGCTGACCCTGTAGCAGGTTTTCAGAGGCTGGAAGTCACATGAGAGGAGACTGCCCACCTTTCTCCCTCAAAGCAGCTGATGGATTCGAACTCCATGCCTTTGGATTGGCAGCCCAATTATCTACCTACTAGGCTACCACACCTCAATTTCTTTTTAGCCTGTCATAATTATATCCTGGGTTTGGGTTCTTTAAAGCTGCTTTGATAAGGAGTTTAAGAGAATAATTTCATCAGAGGATGCATTTGTCATCTTAAGTACTGTATCGATGACTGTTGAGATATTTTGAAGCAAAGGGTTTTCTCCTAAGGATTGAATATAATCATAATTGAGGTAAAAAGTTCCCTAAGACCAATATAGTAGAATTATATTTTTCTTCACATACAGAAGAACTACTCTTACCAACTCCATCCCACAAAACCCAATCTTTCATTTTACAATTCCATTAATAACATACTGCTAAGTCTTCTATCAGTTTATCTTCAAAGTAATGCTCTTCTGTTTCAATCCAGGACTTTTCATACCCCTGAAGAAAGAGATTGACAGCCCGGTGCCTACAAAACAAACATAATGTCAAAGGGTTTTGCTTTTAAATTGAAAAGGTATTAATTGGTGCTTATCACTTTATTAACTGCTCTGTGAATTGTCTATTCTCAGCCAGGGAGGCATCACAGTGCAGGAACTGAAGGGTTTAAGTTCCTGGTTCAGCCATTTCTAAGCTTTGATACATTGAGCATGTTATTTAACCCATCCCATTTTTATTTTTCTCAGTCATAAAATGAGGATGACCTCAATTAGATTTCAAGTGTGTGACTTTTTAAACAAGATAAAGCATGAAAGTAGATCAGATCAGTGCTCCTGAATGGTAGCAATCTTGGCATAAGTTGCTTTGATAAATAATAAAACAACAGTTCCTATTTAGGTATGATTCAAGTTAACATTAGATGTGGATCTTGAAGATGTCAAAACAAGATGTACTAACTGAACTAAATGGGAATATGTTGTTGTTTTAGGTGCTGTCAACTCAATTACAATTCATAGCAACCTACGAACAACAGATCTGAACGCTAATTCTTCCTGTGCCATCCTCACCATCTCCTTCATGCTCAAGCCAATTATAGTAGTAACTTTGTCAATCAGTCTTGTAGAGGGTTTCCTTCTCTTTCTCTGACCATCTACATTGCCCTGTATGACGTATTTTTCAAAGGACTCACTCTGCCTGACAACAGGCTTATTAGGGATAACATTTGGCTTGGGATGAAGATATCTCCAAAAATGAGGAAGAAGGAACAGGTGAATGAAGCAGAGTAGGATGAGTCAGACACCACCCAGAAAGAGGAAGGCAAGGAATTAGCCTATTACTGGTCAGGAAAGATCATCAGGCCAAAGCTAAAGATGTTATACCAGAGGAAAAAGCTGACAAGATGATAAAGCTTGTATCCAAGTTTCTTCTTCAAGGTAGTGTGTCTAGAAAACAGTCAAAGTGCCCCAAAATGGACCTTTTCCTCATTATTATACTAACAGAAAAGTCCCATGAGCACCATGAAAATTTCAAATCACCATGGAGATTGATTGTCATGCTGGTACCCAGAAGAACATAGTAGGTCAAAACATTCAGTACCCCATATCCTCGACCTATCTCTCCCAAGAGAGAGATGAATATTTAATACCAACCAATGCATGCATATCACTCCCGTTGTTTACATACATTTACTCAAATCCTAGAAATACCAAGACCCTAAAATTCTCCACTCACAGAGGGTGACCAGTTTGTCTCTGGAATATATAATTGTTGTTGTTGTTGTTTGTTGTTATGTGCCGTCGAGTCGCCTGCGACTCATAGCGACCCTATGTACAACAGCCCTAAA